AGAAGGGGCATTTCACGACAAAGGGAACGAATTGGGTGCATGCACTTGATGGTCATGATAAGCTGATGGGATATCAAAATTCCACTTTCCCATTGGCTATCTATGGATGTATTGACACTGCCAGTAGAAAGCTGTTATGGTTAAGAGTTTGGATATCCAATTCTGAACCAAAATTAATTGGGAAGTGGTACCTTGAATATCTCTATGAAACGAGAATAATATCAGCCATGCTGCGAGTGGACAAGGGTACTGAGACTGGTGTCATGGCAACCACACATGCTTTCTTACGAAGTAAACATGGAGATATGGATCCACATGAAACTGTTGTCTATGGCCCTTCCACCTCTAATCAGGTAAATTTTCTATTTAATTGCTAAAATTTATTTTTTATTTCATTTTCTACACATACTTTTTCAAACTGGCACATACTCAGCAGCAATCATGCAAGCCTTTAATATTGATTATAGATCCAATGGGCCATTCCATTTAATATGTGCACCCCCCCCCCCATTGAGGGGTCTGGAAATCCTATGGGGAGGGAGGGGTTAATATTGGTAATTTCCGAGGGGGTAAATCAGTCGGTCCCTTTGATCTTCGAACAACATAGGCCAATTTCCAAGGGGGGGAATGTGTCGGCACTTTGATGTTCAATTTCCTAAGGGGGTAAAACTTTTAAGGACCCCTCAATAGGGGGGGGGTGCACATATTAAATGGAATGGCCCAATGTACTTAATCACGGACAAGATTTAATTTCAATTCAATTTTTTTTCATATCATTAGCACTGATGAAGATCCGGGCTTACGGATCGAAAGCTTTGCAGTAATAAATTTACGTGGTGTTTCCTCAAACAATAGTATTATATGTTTAATCGCCATGCAAACCTACAAAGAACTTATTACTCACCTGGGACACCTGTGCCCGGGCTCTGTAGAGCGTCTTGTTAAGGTTTAATTTTATGCTGCTTTATTACTTTAAGATTGAAAGGTGGTGGAAGGAGTTACATGAAAGAATGGAAAAGTATTTCAAAGGTCATTTGAGATTGCTTAAAGATCAAGGTCACTATGATCCACATAATGAGACCGACAGGTAAAAATATTAACATTTTTAGTGGTACTGCACCCAAGTGTGTCCTACTTTGTTGTTTTACTCAGTTTAACACAAGACAATGAGAAAATTTGCTTGTCAAAGGGATAATACTGGTTCTTAATGGGTTTGCTTGAAAAATAATACACACCCCTTGACAAATTATGACATTGGGTCATTCCAGAAAGCATCCATATATCTCCCTCACAGAGGGAATTGGAAGTTAATTAACCCCCCAACATGTACCCCCTTCTTATTGTATGTCCTAAGATACATACTAAATTGTTAGAAACAAAATTCTCCACTTCCCCCCTTCTGGATGGCAGAAGTCAGAGAGTTTGGCAAAGACAACGGCAACATGGTCATCAACATAGCATTGATCCTCGTAGACAAAGGTGAATGTAAATTACATGGTCTTTAAAGCATTGTGCAATGCCATAGTTGATGAAACTAGTGTGTGATTTGCATCATTTTCACGGTGCATGACTACGGCAACAGTTAATTCATTCAATGTTATTTGAGGTGTTTTATTTGAATTCGCGGACTATTTTTATTTATCAGGGCTGTTTTAGAGGAGCAAGAATACTTAAAGAGGCAAATTAAGTGTAGTAACATATACTTTGGCTGAAATACAATAATATAAGCAATTATATTAGCAATTATATTTTTTCGCCATTGTCGTTGCCGTTCTAGGTTGCCAAGTTCTCTATCACCTCCTTGGGGGGAGGACAAGTTTACTCATCAAAAGGAGACTGCTGTCAAAGTGTTAAGACAAGCAATATTGGTTCACTTGTCAAATTGGTCTAATTTTGGATAAGTTCTTAATTAAATTATTGACCTTAATTTTATTTATGTTTCAAGAATGCTTCTATCTTTTGTTATGATACCATTGGTTCAGAAAGAACTGGATATTTTTCGAGAGACTGTGTGGAACACTCATAGAATAAGAGCACAAAAGGATGCAGTATTGCCAAGTGGGATTCCTAACCACATTTATAGCTTTCCAGATGAGTATGGTCTCAAAGAATGTGGTAAGTTGTGCCCTGCTGTATGTACCTTATTATTCTACTCTGTCTAATGCCACATGAATTTTCTTGTGAAGGATAGAGTCATGCACACTAAAATCGTACATTGCAGCTTAGACACTACATCAATATAGAGTTATCTAACTTGCTTGCAGCTAAAAAAGCTATTTATAATTACGAAGTGCAATCAATTTGAGCAATAAAGAGAGAGAGAGGACAGCATATATGGAGCCAAGGGTGGATTTTCATATTTTTCTCTGGGGGGGGGTGCATAAACTTCAGGGGGTGGGGGTGGGTGGCAATGATCTTGTGCAGGGGCGGATCCAGGGTTTTTGATGACCGGTTACTAGGTTCACCCAACTATGCTCCCCCCCGGAAAATTTTTAAATTGGGGCTCCGAAACAGCATTTCCTGCATTCTGGCGTCACTTTTTAAATTAATTTTATTAATGATTAGAAAATGCATGTTTTTAAGTGAATTTTTTACTAATACGCAGCTCAAACAATGAATTGAACCTTTTCTGAAGTGTATTAGCTAGTGCCTAGTGATAAAAATATAGGATCTGCTAATTGCTGACACATCGATTTAGATCTACACGCTTTCAATCCAACTCTAACGACGAACTAAAAACCAAACTGCAAGAGCGTGAATGCTTCCCAATCATTTCCTGATTCTCAATTGCCAAAGCAATGATCAGTGGGTCTAAATACGCTCAGTAGTCCATAATCAAATTTCAATAATAGATTAGATAACATCCATTTTATGAAACAGAATATCCTTTAAATTAGTTATATACATTATTACATGGAAGGTTATAGATTTTCTTTCTTTGGAAAATCTGACAGGTTTATGTACACCTGTCAAACCTGTCTGAATCCATTGTCAATGTGCGAACACGTGGTGCCGATGAGCACGTGAACTTATTTTTTGTAAGTCAAGTGTGTTTTACTTTTACGTTAATATGCTGCAAAAAAGCATATATAGAAACATGTTGATTTTAATATTTCTATCTTACTTAACGGTAGTTTAATTTAATGCTTTTAAATTTTGGCAGGGACGGGGTGCACAATTTCTCGGGGAGGGGGGTGGAAAATTTTTTGGGGGGGTGCGCACCCCCCAGAAAATCCGTCCTTGTATGGAGCACATATGACCATTCTGTAACCTTTACATAGTACCTTATTTTACAGGCCTAAAAGTAACTGAAGAACAGCTGAAGGAGGCAGCTACCCTATCTGGCATTTTGCAAGTACCAGATGACTATTTGGAGCCAAATGTTAGAGCAGAATGTGAAAGACTGATCCCTGATCATGACACAATCAAACCAAATGAATGCCAAGATGCATACTTATACTTGAAACAACATTATAATAGTTAATTTTAACATGTCAATTTTAATGTTCTTTATAATAGATGTCTATAGATGCATGTCTGTGCAATCAAGATATGGAAGATGACTTCCTTGATGCCTCATTTAGAAGATGTGAATCGCTTCTACCAAAAACAGAAAAAATAGAACCTAAAGATTGTGCATCTGCATTCATATATCTCAAAGAAAACTTTAACACAACATTGTAGATGCTACATATAGATGTAAACTAAATTTAAATTCATTTTGTAAATACAGATTTAAACCAAATCCTTAGAAACATGGTAGCAACCAGTCTGGTTAAGTTCTTAATTTAAAGTAGTTCAATAACTTCTGAAAATTGATTTGATGTTTGTTGTTCTCATGTAAAGTTTAAACAAAAACAATCCTGGATAGATGGAAAGAAAAACAAATGGTGATCAAAGTTTGTTCGTTCACTGCAACCAGGTATATCAACCATGTTCTCGCTTGCTACTCCGGTTTAAATAAATGATTACAAAGCCCAGTCGAATTGTAATCAAGACCCAACATTTCGACACTCCAGTCTAGTGTCTTCAGGGGTGATCTGAAGTTACAATCGTTGGCTTCTTAAATACCCAAGGGATGACGTCACCTGCCAATGAGATGCATGTATCCCTCTGGTAAATAGGCACCGTCATCCCTATTCAAAGCATGATTACTCATATTTATATGCCATGCTTCTAGGCATAGTCTTTGACTAGTGTGGCATATAAATGAGTAATCATCCTTTGAATAGGGATGACAGTGCCTATTTACCAGAGGAATACATGCATCTCATTGGCAGGTGATGTCATCCTTTGGGTATGTAAGAAGCTACATTGCAATTTTAGATTACCCCTGATGAAGACACTAGACTGGAGTGTCGAAACATTGGGGTTTGATTACAATTCAAATAGGCTTTGTAATAATTTATTTAAACCAGTGTAGCAAGCAAAAACATAAATGGTGATCAATCTTTACTGCAAACACTAGTCACCAAAAGTGGTAAAAGACATTGGACCTACTATGTTTTCCAACTGTTAATTTAAGACTTGAATTAAATTGCCCAATGTGTTCATAAAAGTTTTTTTATTATAACCTGGTGTTAAACAGATGCTTGCCCAGTCACTCTTTGCTACCACATTACTAGGGATGCGATTTAAAGTCTGATATGTTCTTAAAAGACATTAATGAATCTTCTAAGAGTAACTAACAGATAATGTCGATAATATCAAGTTTTAGGTGTCCTTGTTATACACCAAACTGAAATAAGAACAATGTTTTAAAGATACATCATTACTTTCCCCTAACAGCAGTTTGTGTATTCTTTCTATACAAGTACTTTAAGCTTCAGAAGCTCACAGTACTCATTACATCTATGAATGAGTTTAAATTTTGCAATTGCTTCAAATGACAAATTCCCTGTGGTAAAAAGTAATTCTTTATTTTCATCAAAGAGGGAAGATGATGCAACTTCTGGGTCTACAAGGGAGTAGCCACATCCTTGGATATCTAACACCATTACCTGATTGTTGGATTTTTCAAAAGAAAAATGAGAAAGACACTCTGTTTCTGTAATATAACTTCGTTGACATTCTTGCACAATGTGCCATCATTGTTTATATACTTACTAAACTCTCCATCTACAAACTCTTCAACTGTGACAAATTCGTCACCTTTTTTTCCTAAGTAGACACTCCCATAATGAAAACAATCATTAAAAGATTCTTGCATGCCATTTTGCTCAACACTTGTCTTCAGTTGGCTTGCAAAGTTCTGGGCTAAGCTGTGCATTTGTACAACCTTCTTTGTATGGGTTTCGAGAGTTTGATTGGTCTCAGCAATGACATCCAATGCATTTTCATTATATTCTTTGACTACCCATGAACCAGCAAAGCTCTCATCTTTTGATTCTGCTTTATAAGCTTTTCGGAATGCACCTTCTCCGAGCACATCTTCTGAAACACTAAATTCAACTGCCCTTGGTGAAGACGACCAGCTCATATCTGCCAAATTAAATCCATACAAGTGGATGGTAGTGGTAGACTTGTTTATAAGTTTACCTAGTTTCAACATATGGGTTACCGAGAGACTCTTGGGCATTGGTGTTGAGATTTTAGCTTTTTTTGGACTTGGAACAGAGTTAGGGCCCTTTCGTTTCACAGTTGTGCTTTGCGGATGAACTGGGTCAGTATCATCAACGAATACAGGCGCATCTGCTGTCGAGCTTTTGTTTATGAATCTGACGTATATAAGATTCATATTAGGTATTTGCTTCAAGGATGCGCAGGAAGGTCCTTGCTCACCGGCAAGAATATCACATACAACATTGTTTCCAACCTTCGGTTCAAAATGTTTCAGGCATGCATCCTTCACTCGTTCAATTGTCATCTCTTCTTTTGTATAAAATCGATCTAGATCTTCATCGTCGTCGTCATATAACTGGACAAATTCCCTTGGGCCGATACGTGAATACTTTTGGGCCTTGCCCGACACGTCCGCGCTTAACATTTGAACAGTTATTTCACGTTTGGAAACATCTTTCCCTTTTTGGCTCTTCCCACTCAAGCGTTTTTTTTTCATATCTTCTTTGAACTTTCGCCATTTCTCCGCCATGTTGCTTTCCGCGCGGGCAAAGGTTCATGGGATGTTATGATAGCGCTCGGCCACTGCTCGGCTCATGGGAATTTCTCTCGGGTCGCTGCAGCCTAGACCTAGGCCTTCTATTTTTATTTATATTTTTTTAAGATTCAGCGCTTTTTCACATGAAAAGACTGGGACCAGGTGATTTGGGGGCGGGGCGGAGGAATGACACAAGCCTGACGCAAGCGAAAAAATAGAAGGCCTAGTGGATTTCCCAACAACAAGGCCAAAACTGCCCTGAAACTGTCCTGATTGCGAAATGCCCAATTGTTGCGTTCTCAAACAGAATTATTTGCAACTTAACAGCGAATTTAAACCGATACAGGTAAAATAAACTCATTTATAATATAAAGTTACTATTTTTATTTGTATACACGTCTAGAAAATCGGGGTTTTTATCATAAAGTTTGAAGCAACACTATTATTATGTTGACAAGGTGAAGCGAAAGTACAAAATAATAAGACAGTCTACTGTTTTGCTTTGAATAACTATATTTGCGAATTGGGAATGAGGATTTTGAAATTATTGTTCAAATATTACGGATATACCATTTGTAAACAATGTACGTTTTTATATACAGTACTGTACGGGCTACTAATATATGTATCCGTTTTATTTAATAAATTATAATTGTATATGTGTTTGTATATTTTACAAACACAAGACTGCTTCTTGCCAAAATTGAGAAAATATATATTAATGTAGTTGTGTGTAAGACAAAATTTCATGAAAGATTCTACTTTTGGTATATATTTTGACTCATTTTGTGCTTTCGCTACACCTTGTCAACATAATAATAGTGTTGCTTCAAACTTATGATAAAAAAACCGATTTTCTAGACGTGTATACAAATAAAAGTAGTAAGTTTATACTATAAATGAGTTTATTTTACCTGTATCCGTTTAAATTCGCCGTTAAGTTGCAAATACTTCTGTTTGAGAACGCAATAATTGGGCATTTCGCAACCAGGGCAGTTTCAGGGCAGTTTTGGCCTTGTTGTTGGGAAATCAACTAGGCCTTCTAGGCTTGGTTCCTTCGCCCCGCCCCCAAATCACCTAGTCCCAGTCTTTTCATGTGAAAAAGCGCTGAATATTAAAAACATATAAACAAGACTAGAAGGCCTAGGTCTAGGCTGGGGTCGCTGTGCATTATGGTAGTGGCAGCCCTCGGCCATGGTGAAATTCACTTTTACTTTGTAATTTTAATTGTAAATCAGTATTTTGTATTTCATTTTAATTTACTTTTATTTTTCATTTTAATTTATTTTTATTTTTCATTTTAATTTATTTTTATTTTTCATTTTAATTAAAAAAAAATTATAAAGAATATTTTGGTAGTGGCAGCCCTCGGCCATGGTGAAATTCACTTTTACTTTAATTTTAATTGTAAATTATTTTGCATTTCATTTTAATTTATTTTGTATTTCATTTTAATTTATTTTGTATTTCATTTTAATTTATTTTTATTTTTCATTTTAATTAAAAAAATAAAAAGTAAAAAAATCTTTAAAATAATGTAAAATGTACAAAAAAAACGAGTGGCAACGCTCGGCCACCATACATGTCGCCTCGCGCATCTTGGCCGTGTCTCGTTTCCAGTGCCCTAAACAAGTGTAATTTGACAAATTTTCATGTAAACATTGAGGAGTGAGAAAGTTAAAACGATACCAATCGAGTTTTAGAGCTTTGGTGACCATTTTAAAAGAATATATCATAAATTCAAAGGTAAGTCTATCGTACTGCATTGTCTTAAATGAATTCTCAGCTAAAATACGGCAATAAATGGATCATAAACTTAGCTAAATTTACTGTTGACAACGAGGTTGACAGATCCATTGCTTTTTTGCCTTGAATAGCTTTACCATAGTCATTTTACCTTAAAATGTAGCTGCTGAGGATATCTGTAAGAGATTTACCAAGATTATTTGCACAATCTCACGATTTAATCATGCTGATAACATGAAAGTCCTTGTGCCATTCTATACTTGGCATAATCTCTACATCAATAGTTCACCAGTTCAGTCAAGTTCACTAATATAAATTCAATATATTTTTGAACCAGTCCATATATTATTATGCACAATGTAGTATAGTTAATTTGACCATATTTGAGAAGTTAGGGTGTATTTCATTACACAGACACTGCTGAATTTTAGGTTACATGCCATTGGATTGATATATAAAAAACACTTGTAAAACACACATTATCTTAAGTTCTTTGTATGTTTGCATGGTGATAAAATATAATAGGTTTTGTTTGTGGAAACACCACGTAAATTTATTACTGCAAAGCTTTCGATCCGTAAGCCCGGATCTTCATCAGTGCTAATATTATTAGCACTGATGAAGATCCGGGCTTACGGATCGAAAGCTTTGCGGTAATAAATTTACGTGGTGTTTCCACAAACAAAACCTATTACACATTATCTTGTTGATAGAATAGTTATTTGCAGTATACTAACTGTTGGCATACTCTATTTCAGGACTATCAATTGTTTTTGTCACTGGCAGTCTTTGAAATACAATCTTGCTCTGTGGCCTTTACTGACAAGTTGGCTTTTACTACATATGTGGCACTGACACTTCTTTAATTAATGCACCAGTTAATGTAAACCCCCCAACCAGGGAGGGGCAGGGATTTTGACTTGGAGGGGTAGTAAAAGAGCGAAATTGTCCCCACCCCCAGGGACATCAATGTCCCCCAGGGTCTTAGCTAGAGGGCCGTGTTATCACGGCCAAAAATGGAAAAACACGGCTAGATAAAATGAACGCGGCTTCATTATTTATATAAGGCCGTGTATGTTCATAAAATAAGATGTGCTACTTGCAACAGACAGAATTTATTTCTATTTACGTTATAAGAAAGTTTCTAAAATCTGTTGTTGTTGAAATTGGCAAAAGTGATCTGTGATGTTTTAATGTTTTGATGGATAATGGGAACTGTATGGTGTTAAAATGGTTTTAAATACCCCCAAGAGTTGCTGAAATAACTTAATATTTTAATGTCAGTGAGCAAAATGAGTATATGCTTGCCTTGTATTTGGTTGCAAAGCATAGAACAACCATAGGCATTGTCCGTTGTTGTAGAACCGTAAAATTAGCTATGCAAGGTAATTGACATGTGCACACCCTGGTAATTTAGAAACACACCCAAGATCTAAAATCCTAGCTAAGACCCTGATGTCCCCTGCATGTCTCTCAACCCCAGGAAAATAGTTTTGTATAATCATAGATCAGCAATAGAAAATCAAATTCATTTATGTTGTTGTATTTAAACTTTTCTTGTCAAGAAAACTAAAACAGCAACACAGGATATATATGTTAACCACTGTCCAAGTCTCCCATCATCGGGGACAAATTTATAATAAAAACTGACCACTTTCCCCGCTAAACCTTCCGCCCCTCCCCGATTGGGGGCAGGGATTTACATTGACTGGTGCATAACTAGATGATTGCATGAAGCATTGCATGGAAGTTGATTTATAATTAGTTTATGAATAAACTCACACTTTCATTATAATGGTTGATCGAATATATCAAATGCATTTGATTGGTTGATGGTCCCTTAATGGTAATCAAATCTGAACCTATATAATGTCAATATACTGGAAAAGTATCAAATTAAATTTTAATTGTCAATGTTGTGGGAAGTAAATAAATCAAACAATTCTGTTTGTTTCAACTAACTAGTTCACTATCACTTTGGTTTTCAAATCAAAGAATCTTTAGCCTGGTTGAGCTTTTGAAAAAGTAGCTGCTTGATTAAACGCAAGATTATTTTACTCTGTCTAATGCCAGACAATTTCACTTGTCAAGGGGAAAGTGCTGCCACTCAGTGAACTCAATCAGAGCTCAATGAGCAGCAGCACTCTCCCTCGATAAGTAAAATCATCTGGCATTAGATGAAGTGAAATAAACTAGTAAAGCAGGGTGCATTGGGGCACAATGCAGCTTACTGGGTTAACTGGAAAATATATTTATTAAACAATACACACCCTATACTTGTATTTCAATTCACAACATGATTTGGTATGCTTATGTCTATTTGACCCAAGTACCTGACAGGAATGATATTTGAATCACACCTGTATTCATTGAACAAAGCTAATCTAAATGTACATTAATTGTACATGAACCATGTAAATGTAAAAACTAGCTAGAGCAAAAACACACCCACACAGCTTTGTTTTTTATTTTTCTTGAGAAGGAATAACTGAGACTACTGAGTTACAATGAGAGTCACTACAGAAACTGTATTCTGTGATATAGATGATATTGCTTTAAAGAAACTTGCAGCTTTTAGCAGTTGTGTAAGGGTCTGTTTATATTGAAACTGGCTAACCCGCTAAGTGAGACAGCCCGGTAAGTGAGATCTCGCTGTCTAGTTATTTTTATAGTACAAATTATCATTTCTATGGACAAGCGGGCAGGCCCGGTTGCCAAGACCAGGATGGAAATTTCTCCACATAAACAATCATAAGCAGGCTAGCCCGGTTGCCAGGATGAAAGTTCAAAGATACTGCCGCAAGCTATTTTTAACAACTGTCAAAATAATGTCAAAACAACAAAATTGTCCTGGTAAGCAGAATGAAATTTTCTCAAATAAACACAAGAGAAATCATCCTGCTTTAATACCTACCTTACCGGGCTGTCTTGCTAAGCGGGCCAACCCAGCTTCCATACAAACAGGCCCTAACAGTCTCTGTCAGGCAATTACAAGAGGGTCTTAATGGGGGTCTATGGGTGTCAGTTGTCAGCTAAAATGTAAGCCAGTTGTCAGTTGTCAGTGCGATATATTGCAAGCTGTCAGTAGTCAGTTACTGCAAAAAAGCTGACTCATGGTTTTGTCATTATTTCTCAGTTGTCAGTTAGGACATTTTGTCAGTTGTCAGTCAAAAATTCAGGCAAATGTCAGTAGTCAGTTAACCCCATTCAGACCCTCTTACAATGTTCTGATGTCCAAACTCTAAAGTATTATAAACAAGCAGAACAGACCACTTATTGCAAGTTGCTAGTATTAAGTCATATCAACATGTGATCTCGACAATATACAGTGTATAAACTAAAGTAATTCAGCTTCTACACATGAAGCGACTTTAAACACTATCCTTACACTTTATCAATTCATTGAAGTTTGTACTTAAAAGACATTCTATTTGTAGTATTAAATCATAAGACATATTCTATTCGTAGTATCAAGTCACATCAGGATTTTATAATCTAGCGTCTTTGGACCCAAGTGATCTAGAGTTCTATCTTGTTAAAACCTATCCAAGGAAAAACAAAAAAGGGATATTGAAGTAATGGTGTTTTTGAGCCAAATAAATTCGAATATCCACAAGTATAAAAGCAGAACTCCGTATATACCGGAGACAAAATGGCATCATAGCGAACACATTCTAATGATGCTCAAATTTATATTCAGTGCGCTATATTTTTAAAAATATGACCCTGTTTGCTTTCTAAATACAACAAAATTACTGCTTTACCTTCTGTTCAAATAGTTCCACAGATAAATCGAAGTCACATTTCGTACTACTTGAAAAAAAGCTGTTTTTACTGTCGAAATGACAACTTCCCAATATAATTTTCTATTGTCAACACTGCATTACACTTGTTTAGCTCGCGCATGCGCAGTATAAAAGATGGGACATGTTTCCGCTTGAGTAAGACTTCTGGTCCTATTATCTATTCTGTGGTAACATTCTTCACGAGGCAGATCCACGCCATCTGGTATTAATTGTGTAAACCGCGCGTTAATATTTCCGGCGTTTTCCTTATACTGAATTATTTTATTGTACTAATGCACCAGTCAATTGAAACTACGGCCCCCCGACCCCCGCGGCATAGCGGGGAATTAACGCGGTCAGGGCCGTGGTTTAACGCTACAATTTCCCGGGGATACCGGGTATTTAACGAAAATATATAATTTGCCGGGAAAAAATAGCGGGGATTTAACGCTCGGCTAAAGGACTGTAGAGGCCTGGATACGAGTTCGCTTGCTCGTCCATGTGCTCGTCATTCGTCAACGAATATCAATATGGCGGATTCGTTGCAGTCACAGAAGGTGAGTTTTTATATTTCTATCGTTTACTGTCGTTCCAATTGAAGTGTTGCTGAAATATTGATTCAATACATTACCTCGGGCTGACCAATTCATTTGATCAAGTTCCTCGACATATTCATACACTTCCTGTGAAAGAGCCAATTCCAAGTATTTGATCATTTCTGGTCACTTCCTTTCTATTTATGATTGGTTAGTTGCACAAACAACCAAAGGTGATTGGTGCATTCAAACTATTCAACAGGAAGTTTACAATTATACTAGGAAGTGTATGAATATCTCGAGAACTTGATGAAATGAATTGGTCAGCCCGAGGTAATGTATTGAATCAATATTTCAGCAACACTTCAATTGGAACGACAGTAATATATTTGAGTATTTTTCTATAAATTAGATTGCATTTTTAAAAAGGAAATTACACAAGTATTAATTATATTAGAATTAGATTTGCGGTTTGCATTTGTTTGTGAACAAAGGAAAACGTCAGAGTTCAATTTGTCACTGCCACAGTAACCATTTTATACTTTATTTATAATAATAGAATATATAAAATAAACGTATAAACGTAAGCGCCTGCGGTACATTTATGGAGTATACCGCATTATATTCAAAATGGCGGCAAAACAGTTATTTTTAATAAAAAGTAAAAAAAAAATTATATCGCTTTGAATACAGAATCAATATAAACAGTTATCGCTGGTAGACGCTGTTTATATATGTAAAGGTTAGTGACAAATTCAAACCCGGCGTGCTCCCTTGATGTGTATTGTCTGTTGATAATTTTACTAAAGTTTGTATTAAACGTTCCCCGGTACCGGGGCATTTAACAAATACTTTTCCACCTGTAGCGGGGAAAATGTGCCGGGATTAACAAGGTGATTTGTTAAATTCCCCGCTATGCCGCGGGGGTCGGGGGGCCGTAGTTTCAATTGACTGGTGCATAACCATACTTTCGTATTTAATTACTTAAATCTGGAGTTCACTTCCACAAGAATAAAAATTCAGCAAGTTGGAATTAATAGCTGCATGTTACCAATAGCAATAAATGCGACGTTATGCTAATTATTCCATTCTTTTAATTACAGGATACTTGCTGGGAATGCTGGCCTCGGCAAAAATATTCAACACGGTCCCTTTGGAAGCACAAGTTAAATAAAATGTTCACCAACAAGTGTACCTGTGCACAGACAAAACTGAAGAGGAAGGTGATGGCATTGCCAAAGTAGGAGAAATATAAACTGTCACGCAATTAACATTAACAGAAGCGCGTTTAAAACAAACGTTTTAAATTGCGCTATAGCTTTGATTCATGTTTTATAACTTATAACTGTTACATATATAAGTTATATACATTTCCTATGACATTAGATAGTTATATTAATAACTCTGCGAATTATTATAAATAAAATTTTATAAACTTATTTTGTGAAGTGCTTATTAAAATTCTATCATTGTATCAACGAACGCGCGCTTCGACTAATAACTTATCATAGATTCCAGATCATATTGAGCTTTAATAGACCTTTCAAGACGTTTGTAGACCTTTTAAGACGTTTCAAGACCTTTCTAGACATTTCATAATGTTCCAAGACTTTTCAAGACCTTTCTAGACCTTTTTAGACCTTTCCTGATCGTTATCAAGAAAATATTCGAGATTCCGAAAGGTCTTCAAAAGGTCTTTTGACCTGTCAAATTAACATCACAGCGGAGACTTTTTCAAGACATTTACCTAAGGCGGTCTCTAGGTCTTTTCAAGACCTTTTCAATACAATTTTCAAGGTCTATTCAAGACTTTTTCAAGCCTTTAAAAGGTCTACCGTTTTCTTACGGGCACAGGCTCTCTAATAGGGCCACCTCCCAAATTAATGGCCACCTCTCTAATATGGAGAGCTCTCTAACATGGAATAACCAGTGAACTCCATGTCTTTTATCTGGAATGATAACATGCGGGAGAAACGTGAAGCCAATGCCAACACCACTTGACGTGCGCTGATTCATGATAGACCGTGCGGTGATGGCGTACAAGGGGAGCGTTGTTCGTGCAAGGCTTCTCTTTTTAACTGCAGGTAAATAGATTGAGTTCACTGGGAATAACCTGTCCCTTCAGTGTCAGTATTAAAGAGGTCCAACTGTATTTTAAAATATTTCTCTTTCCCTAAAGGTTACTCCAAATTGTCCACAGCAACATTACTTTTCTTTGAACAAAATTATGACAAAGCACTAGCAGAAGGAGAAACGTTTTTGGAAATCGCAAAACGGCTAAACAACAAACTTGCAGAATGTGAGGCAATCTTACAAATGGCAACTATCTGCTGCAGTCTTTTCAATATACAGAAAGCCTTCGACCTTTTCTCTGATGGCTTAAAAATGGCAATAGAATTAGAGGATCGCAAGAAGGTAATGCAAGCGCGATATAATCAGACTGTCATATACTCTATAATGGGCAAATACAGAAAAGCTTATAATATTCGTAAACAAATGGTCAGAACACTGAGTACATATGAAGATGAAGCATTTCAGTTTGTAGTGCTTTGTGGCCAAAGTGTGGATGCACTTATTCTAGGTAAAGATAAGAAATCCCTAAAACTTGCACAAAAATCGTTGGTGGTTGCAGAGCAGTTAGGTGTAGCAAAATCTATATCCTTAGCTCATGGCAATATAGGCCTTGCAAAGGAGAAGCTACAATACTATGATGATGCAATCAAAAGTTATGAAAAATGTCTGGAATTTGGGCAGAAGATTAAGAATACAAGAATCATAAATAATAGTTACTGTAATCTTGGCAGGGCCTATGAAGGAAGAGGTGGGTATAAAACAACTTTTATGATTAACATTTTCCTTTTGACAAGTAAAATGAAGAGCTATTGGATCAGATATTACATAAAAGTCTGGGTAACCGGCCATTAACATCTGAAAGTCACTTTTTGAAGAGCATATAAATTGTCTGGTGTTAATAGATTTGGTAAAATTATTTTACATTAATTAGATGGACCACACATACCCACAGTCTTACTCAAAGAGCAAAGGTAAGAGCCTACAGCAGTTAGAATAATAAAGTATGATATGGCCTGCTGACGTGTGTTACTCGTTAACGGGTTAAGTGACCAAGTGATAAAGATGTGCTGGAATTAGCACAAAACACTCTGTGTCTTTTGAATGCTCTTGCATAACACATAATCCGACTGTTCTCGCCATCTAGTTACTCATTGTTTTAATTTGGTGGATTTAAGGTGATAAAGCAATTGCTAAGAAGTACTACCTCAAAGCTCTCAACATGCCTCAATCACCATCATCCCACTGGTGCGATACAGAAGATTTCCGATTCAGTGCTGATTACCTCCTTGCAAAATTGGCAGTGGAAGAGAATGATTACTCAACCGCAAAGAAATATTTTCAACAAGTTGTGGATCGTTGTGAGAAGTTTCGTAAAAGTGTCCATGATAGCCCTTTAAAGATCTGTTTCAATGATACACAGAAGAAACCCTTTCAATATCTACAACATGTGCTCCTGAAAGGAAAGGCCGACGCAGCCGCACTGTTGGTCGGTGAGATGGGCAGAGGCAGAGATTTTTATGATAAGGTATAGGTTTTATGATTGATCTAAACTAATGTGTAGTAAACTGTCAAGTAACATATTGTTGTGGTTGTTCATTAGCACATGCACCTTTAATTTTGTGAAGGGAATTTAATCCCTACATGCTAGATGAATAACTTGGCCAAACGTAACCACAGGGGGTTTTTTTCCGGGTGCTCTACATCAGATCTGTTGGAGGATTCTTAGTAAACCTCTTAGAAGAACAGTTTGGAACAGAACTCAAAAGGAACATACTGTACAGTACACTAACCACTGTACCATCCTTCTCTAATTAAGGTAATAAAAGAAGACCAGTCCAAGCATCTCAATACACCTGAAGCTCTTCTGGATGTGGCTAAGACCAACAACCAGGCTGTGCTGTTCCTGTCCAAACTAGACGTCGTTCAGGAAATGAGAACGTGGTTTATCACACCAGATGGAAAAATCACGTCCTCCAGCTGCCCTCTGAATCAATGGGAAGAACTGCTTAAGGATTTACGTGTTGTTTTTAGTGAAGTTTTGATTGGCCAAACTCAGACACCTCAGCCAGTTATTCAGATGCCTCAACCAAGTTCAGAGGGTGCCACTGACATGGTTGGTGTTACGGAAGTGGCTCAGCCAAATTCGGAAAGTGGCAATATAAGCCCTGCAGCTCAACCAAGCTGTTCATGTACAATTGAATTCAGAGGTTCGTTTGAATGAAAAAGTAATATTTAACGAAGATGCCAATATGGTATGCTCATTTTAAACATATTGTGTTTGTTTTTAATAACAAGTCACTCACTATTCATAGGTGTGGACACCAGAATCGTAAGTGATGATGAATCTGCAGATGAATCTGGAGATGAATCCGAGGATGATTATGATGAACTGGGAGAAGAAAATGAGAATAATGGTGATCAATCTGGAGTTAAATCTGTGAATGATGCAGACAATGACAAGGCTACAGTTCAAGAAACAAACAGAGATTATGCATGCTCTATGTCAAACCTCACAGCCACACGGAGTCCACCTATTCCATCAAATATTCCGCCTGCTGCACCTTCAAATATCCCCGATTTTCCTGGCCTTATCGACAAATTTAGCGAGCTTATTGTGCGACCAATTGAAAGTCATTTAGCAAACATGGTTTCCGAAAGTGGTCGTAAACCTGAATTATTGATTATACCACAAGGACAAACATTCAACATACCTTACTCTACACTGCATCTTCAAAATGGAGAACCGTTATGTAGTATGGTGTCGCTCTGTGAAGCTTTTTCTTTCCATTCGTATTCCTACAGTACAACATTGCAAGAAGAAACAAAGAAACAGGTGAATGATTAACCAATCCAATTATTGAATTTAGGCTTCAGTACATGTTACCTCTTTGGCCGATTCCTGAATGAAATTTTCCCTCCTAAACTGCTGTATAGTAGTTTGAACATCTCCTCAATGGAGAACAATTTAGAACTGATGGTTTTCTACCCAGTCTAATTAAAAGTACTTATAGTTAGTTTTGTTACCTCCTGTAGTAATAATGAACCAATAAGAGATCGATCTTACTGGATCTCAGTAGGGAGACAGTGAATAATTTACATGTAGATTCCTCCCTTCAATAACACTGGAACAATTAAACAGAACTTATAGTATAGCTGTTCATGCAAAATATATAAAGAATCCGGCAATTATAGTGGGTATGAGGTTTTCAATGGAGGAAAAGAATAAATTATTCATGCTGTACTATATAGGCTAAGTCATGTTGTTATTAATGTAGCCTCTTCAGATGAAAGATATTCTTATTGTGGGTAACCCAACCAACAATCTGCCATTTGCTCAGAAAGAAGCAGAGATGATAGCAGAAAAGCTGCAAGTAACTCCATTGTTACAAGATTCTGCAACTCACAGTGAAGTTCTATGTAGACTTTCGCAAGCACCCATAATCCACTTCGCAAGTCATGGTACGATTGATGGAAGAAGCTTGTTGCTTGCACCAGAAGAAGGCAATTATAACAAGTACGTAAAAATACCTAACCTAGTTTATAGTTTTTTTCAGGTAGAATACTATACCAGTCCTATATATACAATAGATCACCAATTGTCTAAGATATTTTTTCAGGTAGCAAGGTCCTGTAGTTCGGGAAACGACAAAACGCGGACCCCAGGTCCATGGACTACCTTCGTGGACCTGGTCCATGGACTACACTCGTGGACCACGGACCACTCCTGTGGACCACTCTCGTGGACCACTTGCAAAATTTCGCCTACCGAACAATAGACCAAACACTATTATTCCGAGTTTAGGGAGCCGAGATTGGCGGGAACTACTGATTATTCATTTCCATTATTTATTTCACAATCAATTCAGTTTTTGTTTGATGAACAGTGAATACTAAGTCTGTAAAAATGCTGAAAAAATGTAGTCAGGGTTCCATTAAAAAATATAGGAATACTGTGGAGAATCTGGAGGGGGGTGGGGCGGTGGTCAAAGGATTTTACTGAATTATTCGAATTTTACTGTTAAAAAATCACTTGAACTGTAGAAGTCGTAAGTTGCAATAACCTTTCAATGCCTGAAGGTCCTCTTCCAAAAATATTAATTTTTGAAGCTCGATTACTGCTTTTCTTGCATTTCCTGTAGCGATCGAGAAAAAAACCTACCAATTTTAAAGGCATATATTCGGAAACTTTGCATTAAAGTCGTAATTGCACACTTATATTTTAGAATGGTCATGTTGACTTCAGAACTTCACATTTTGTGTAAAGTTTCCACAATAATAATAATGACTGAACTCGACTCGAGCACATTTTTGCATGCACAGTCAAGAATTCAAACCCCAAAAATCGCAAGTGGTCCATGAGAGTGGTCCACGAAGGTAGTCCACGGACCTGGGGTCCGCGTTTTGTCGTTTCCCCTGTAGTTCAGACACAAACAAGAACAGCTTACTGTACCGTAAAATACTAACAGTCTGGACCACCACGTTTGAGAGATATTTTTCAGGGAATTCAGACACAAAGCACGATAGCTTATTGTAGATTATACCTACACTGGGCCCCACATTGAGATATCTTTTTCAGGTACAAAGACACAAACCATGGCATCTTATTTTAGAATATGACACTGACCTACATTACATGTTTTAATCGTATATACAGTACAAACATTTTACAATGGAAGTTTTTTTATCAAAGTGTGCTGAAAGTGTGAAAAGCATGCTGAAAGTGACAGTTGACAGTGACAAAATGTTTCCCTAACAACAATTTTTCAACAATGTTTCCCCATGTTTTCATTTTCTCGTTACTTATAGTGCTGAAATGGCAAAAGAGAGTTACCTTACAGTGGAGGACATCTCGAACCTGAGCTTACAAGCTAACATGGTGGTCCTGAGTGCTTGTCATACAGCCCGGGGCAAGATCAGCAGCGAGGGTGTGTTGGGTCTAGCCCGTGCCTTCCTAATGGCGGGGGCAAAATCTGTGGTTACTGCACTATGGGCAGTTAATGATAATGCGACTAAGAAATTTATGTTAAGGTTTTACGACAACCTCTCCTCTGAACCGGTTGTGAATGCCTTGGCAACCACAATGTGTGAAATGAAACAAGAAAAGTTTAAAGTCACTCAATGGGGTTCATTCAAGGTTCTGGGTGCAAATGTCAAAGTGTTTTCTCACTTTTCTGATGATAATTAAAGAAATATAAAGGTTGTTAGTTTATTGTAATATGGTGTAATGTAATATATTATATTGACTGTCTGATATATTCATAGTTTACACATGTAATTATATCATTCATATACCATAGATATGTATTGCATAAACCACGGTTAATATTATACATTTATTATTTATTTAAAAAATTCTTGGTTTCTGATTGGCTAACAGCCAACTGTGAAATTGTCATATCAACTCAATGGCTAACCAAATATGGATTTTTCACTATGAAAAAAAAATTGGACATATTTGCGCCATATTACTATGATAACGAGAATCGTATTGACTCACTGACGCCATTGATATGACAATGACGACAGCTGCCAAAGGACTAAGGAATTGTTTTTTTTCTTGATACCGGTACAAATAAAATACAAATGGCCTCCGTTTGTTTTGAATTTTTTAAATAAATAATAAAACAATTATTGAATGAGGTTTTCACACAAATTATGAAGAATTATCAAGCCCCGAGTTTGTTGTTATCAATCTCAGCCTTCGCGGCTTCGGTTGATAACGGCAAACTTCAGGCTTCAGATAATTCTTCATATTGTGCTCAACCTCATTCAGTAATTGTTAAATGTGTGAAACCAAGGCAACATCATATCAGAGCAGCATGATTTTGTTTTGGTTATGCATGTGTTGTTTCAGGTCGCTGTTTTCTTGAGACCAAGACAATCAAAGTGAGAATTGAACAATTTGTTCTCTTGTTATAAGTGTCCTCTAGTTATTGCATGAAATGCAAGACTGAGACAAGATCAGTCATAGTGTTGTTGATATGAGACCATAATTAATCACCACATTGTAAATAATGCACCAGTCATTTGACCCCTCCCCATCTCAGCCAACCCCGAGCCGTTCACATCTTGCAACTCTTCACAAAACTTAGTGAACTCCCTGACCACCACGGCAAAAAGGCATGACAAATTCCCTTGCCCCTGAAAAGGAGGTAATTGTTTCTGTCAGGGGCAAGAAGGCAGGTGCATTTTGTGATTTCCAGCTTTTCGCTATCATTTGCAGGGGGGCATGGGGAGCAGGGGTAAAAGACTAGCAAAACCTACAATATAATTTTAAAAATGACTTGTATTTAAGTGTAAATAATGCAAAAAATCATGACTTACCGAGGCTCAGTATTCCACTCTTTTTATAGTGCTGTAGTGCACGTCCATGTTTTTTACTTCAAAGTAAAAATTGTCATATAAATTAGATAAGGTTTTTATAATTAGATAAACTTAACACATGATTTATTCATTTGCTCAGTGTATATTCCTCCACAAAATTCTCCTAGGGAAAAAAGATTAAAGATAAATCACTATGAAACCCTTCAAAATGACATAAATAAATTTGCTAGCCTTGGTGAGATAATTTTATGTGGTGATTTCAATGCAAGATCAGGTCATTTAGAGGATTCTATTAATGATTTTCATCTATATAATAACTCCTCTTCTCCAGTTGATCATCGAAACTCTCAAGACTCCCACATAAATGTATATGGAAGATCTTTAGCTGAATTGTGTTGTGGGAACTCATTAATTACTTTAAATGGAAGGTCTAAAGGAGATTTTGTTGGAAAATTTACATGTCATACATATAATGGATCGAGTGTTGTGGATTATACTATTGTATCTCAAAATCTTTTTTCTTCATTGAGTCACTTCTCCGTTTCTTCCCTTACGGAATTCTCTCACCATTCTTTCTTATCATTTGCTTTAAAGGCAGAAACCCCTGATTTATCTGGTGATTCTAGTATTGAATTAACATCACACCCTATAGCCTTCAAATGTAACGAACAGTGTAGGGAAGTGTTGCTTGATATTTTTAACTCTGACGAAGTCAATGATCATTTAGACACTTTACTCAATCCTTCAAACGATAATGATTTAGACATCAACTCCTTAGTTAACGACTTCACAGAAATTATTACCAAAGCATCTAGAAAATGTATCCCTCTCAAGAAACAGAAAAAAAAATCTAGTAAAACGAGAGTAACACAAAAACAGAAATGGTTTGATAATAATTGCTACCGACTTAAAAGAGAACTACGGAATTTAGGAAAATTAATATCAACACAGCCGAAAATGACCCCTTTATAAGGCACATGTTCTTTACTAAGAAAAAAGAATATAAAAAATTAATAAGGAAACTCAAAAGAAAGTTTCATAGTGAGACTCTGAATAAAATTAAATCCATAGCAGATAGCAACCCCAAAGAATTTTGGAATCTTGTTAACAAAATCAAATCGAGTCACTCCAATTGTTCTAATACAATATCGCATGATGAATGGTTTCACTATTTCCAAGACCTCAATAAAATTAATTTTTCCTCGGACGAAACTCGTGTTGAGGCTCAAATAGTAAAAGATTTTCGTCTCTGGGCAAACACTAGCGATGAAATTCTTGACAAACCTATCTCATTACAAGAAATTTACAACATTTCTAGAAAACTCAAACATAACAAGGCTAGCTCTAGCGACTTGCTAAACAACGAAATTAGCAAAACATCAATCACTAGTTTAGCACCTTACTATGTGAAACTTTTTAACACAATTTTATCTAGTGGTGTTTTTCCAAGAATATGGTCGGAAGGATTTATAACTCCTATACATAAATCAGGAAGTAAAACTGAGCCTGGAAATTACAGAGGTATATGTATTTCTAGCTGTTTAGGGAAATTTTTTACTCTAATTCTAAACACGCGTTTAAACAATTTTCTAGAGGAAAACAATATTTTGAATAATTACCAGATTGGTTTTAGACACGGATTTCGAACATCTGATCATCTGCTTGTTCTTAAAACATTAATAGACTCTTATAAATCAAGTCGGAAACCCATTTTTACATGTTTCATTGATTTCAGAAAAGCATATGATAGTGTTTGGCGAGAAGGCCTATTTTTCAAATTGATAAAATATGGATGTAGCAAAAAATTTGTTGCAATCTTGCTAAATATGTATTCTTCTGTTAAATCGGCGGTTAAATTAGAACAAGGTGTAACCCCGTTCTTTCAATCTCATATTGGAGTGAAACAAGGATGTAATCTGAGTCCAACACTGTTTAATATCTTCATTAATGATATACCTAATCTGTTTAATTCTCATTGTGATCCTGTAAAACTCGATGACACTGAATTAAGTTGTCTACTATACGCTGACGACTTGGTAATAATGTCAGATTCGGAATCTGGGCTACAGCGCTGCCTTCATAATCTTGAAACATATACGAAAAAATGGAAATTGCAAGTAAATTTAAAAAAATCAAAAATCTTGATATTTGGAACACAATCGAAAAGACGACTGTTTATTTCATCAAAATGGTACTTTGGTGACAAACAGTTAGAATGTGTAGATGAGTATACATACTTGGGACTAACTTTTCATTACACCAGGGCCTTTTTTAAGGATTTTCCCGTGGGGGGGCATTTTTTGAAAAGGGACTTTTCTGTGAGATAATATATTAGAGGGGGATGTCTACGTGTGTGGCCAATATACCACGCATGAATGGGGGGTGGTCTGGGGGAGTACTCCCCCAGAAAATTTTTGAAATTTGAATCCCAGAAATGTCATTTCCTGCATTCTGAGCATCCAAATTTGGTCCAAAATTTATGCTAACTATACTGTCTTGTAAAAACAAAATAAACCATCATTTATCGTTACTTATTAGAGGACTTAGAGGAGGATGGCAATGGTCAGGTGTGTGGGGGTGTACTCTCCTAGAAAATTTTTGAAATTTGAAGCACGGAAATGCCATTTCCTGCATTCTGAGCATCCAAATTTGCTCTAAAATTTATGCTAACTATACTTGTATTTGAAATAAAAGATGGAAAATATGCACAAAAAGTAAAAAAGAATATTAACTGTAATTTATCATTATTTATTAGAGGGATAATCCCCAGAAAAATTTTGAAATTTGAAACCTGGAAATGCTATTTCCTGCATTCTCAGCATCCAAAAAATAAAAAATTATTAACAATAATTTGTCATTACTTAGTGGTAGAAAAAAGTAACAATTTAAATCGATTTTGTTAAACAAGGACAAAGGATAAAGCCTAAAACTTACTTTCCGTTTATGTATTTGTTAATCTTCGCTGGTTTGTTTCTATAATTTTAGGAAAAAGGGACTTTTCCTGGGGGGGCAAAATGTTATTTCGTGGGGGGGCACACGGGGGACTGGGGGGGCATTTGCCCCCCAGCTTGTATGTTAAAAAAGGCCCTGCATTACACTGGTAATTTTAAGATAGCTATAGCGTCACTATACGACAAGGCATTGAGAGCCTACTATTGTCTAATGGATAAACTTTCAAACGTAGAGAATATACCGATAAAGACACTACTAAAACTATTTTCTTCAGTGGTGATTCCAGTCTTATTGTACGGTTGTGAAATCTGGGGAGTGTGCTTATTGGGAAGAATCTCCTCATATGAACTTTTTCAAAAGAAATTGTTTAGCATCGTAAATAAACTGGAGTCATTACAGCTGAAATTTTTTAAACGTATTCTTGAAGTTCATTCTAAAAGCACAAATCTGGCTATCTATGGGGAACTGGAAATCGCTAGATAGTATACTTCAAAATAAGGTAACCGCGAGAAGACTGGGTACGAGTTTGCCAAAATCTTCGGAAATCAGTTACGAGCGTTCTACGAACTTGCCACTCCTTTTGAAGGATGTTTTCTTACTCGCGCGGCTTTTTTAAATTTTGAGGGAAATTCAATTGGCGCGAAACGTTCCGAGGTATACAAATTGATAACAGGTCTTGTTACTTTAATTGAAATTATACAGTTATACGTTAATTTTTCTTTGTCATCCGAAGCATGTCGGCGAATATAAATTCGAGCTATGTTGGCGACCAAAAGGTGGCCGTAGTACAAAGCGAGTCCGATGTAAAAGCTCTGATTAAAGAATACGAGACGGAGACGAGCAGCAAATTCGTTGTTTACTACGGTGACAAGAGCTTTGGATCAAATGGCAAGTATTACTGTTAACGTATAGTATATATTAAGAAGTATGTCATTAGCGCATAAAGCAATAGGTTTTGCACATCACCTGCAACGAAGACATGTACACAACACCTCTGAGAGGCGACTGAGGTGCAGTATCCGTGCAACTTCTAAAAATCTTTAAATTATCAGGGCGTAAAAATTAGATCAGGGGGCTTATATAAATACCAAGGGGGGGGGGGCAATTTGGAAGGGGCCCAATTTCCCAAGAGGGGGGCCCGAAATGCTGGAATTGCGGAACGTGTTAAACATTTAGGAATATTGTGAAAAATTAAGGTCGAAAAATTCTGAAAAACGTATTCCCCCCCTTATCCAAAACAGGTTTGCGAAAATTTTTTTTGGACCTTTTATTTTCAGGAAAACGTATATCTCCCCCTCCTCACCTTTTTCCGGAAATTTTTTTGCGTACCGGGGGGGTCAAAAGGAAGAGGGCCCAAACTTTTAAGTTCACCCCCCCCCCCCTCTGACACAGACTCTGGACACAGCAAAAATAACAAATTTATTAATACTTTTATGACTACAAATTTCTTTTCTACTAACAAAAATGTATGCAGAATATACTGATAATAAATAATATTACGCTTTTACAGAATTCGACTTTTTTTATTGTTTAATTGATTTTTAGAAGTTAGAAAAGACAAACTTAAGGTTTTCTGGGAGAGAAAGGATGGTAACCAAGGGCCAAGTATTGCATACGACGGAATACCATTCGTGCATGTTGGAGAGAAAGTCTTGTGGTGTCACCAAGGGAAAGACAAAAATGAAAAAGCAAAACAAAAAAATAAGGAGAAGATTCGCAGCAGTCAGGTAACAAGACATTTAGCAAATACTAATAGGCATACACAGCTTTCTACAAATAAGCGGATTTTACTTTTCATTTTACAGGGTGCCGACCATTGTTACCATACCCAGAGAAGATCTTTTGCTCAGACATCTAAAAAGAAAGAATGCCCAGCTACAATTTTCATCACACAAATTGCAAAATTTCCGCAAATGAAGGTCTTTAAATGTTGTAAACAAACGATAAAATAAGTCTTTTTCTAACATACATAAAAACCCGCAAACATGACGTATACACTATTCTTTAGATTGAAAAAGACAGTATATTCTTCAGAAGAAGAATTGCAAAACAATTGCACGAAAAATTGAAGGAAAACACTATTGCAAGTGACGGTGTTGAAATGCGGTATATCGTAAAGTTACCTCATCCTTCTGAACACCAATATCACTTAACTGGGAAGGTAACAATTTGTTTAAAAGTTAAAGGGAATTGCATGTATGAAAATAAATATTGACGCAGAATTATAAATTACTAATGACAACATTTGGTAATGATAATATTTTAATATAGTACATTATCGCAACCGGTGAACCGCAAGTTTATCCTATCCAACGTTTCAAGAAAACACTTCAATACCACAGAATAAACATTTACAGAAGTCCGACTTCGTGTCGGTGGTGCCTTTGATGTTAGTGTAACCGCCACCACGCCATGTTATTTGCAAACGCAAAGCACTCTAGCCAGTGCGCTAAGAAGACGTCGCCATCTCCCTGAAAACGTTCCAAATAGGCGGCTTGGCGTAAGCGTTCAGGGGGGGGGAGTCTTTCGTAAGCGCACACGCTAGGGACATGGTGTAACCGTTGCAACGGTTACGCCCAAAGTGGGACTTCAAGTGTTTATTCTGTGCCAGGTGAATTATTTATAATTATCTTTTTACATGACAGGTTGCTGGTATAAGAGAGCCTCTGGACATAGCGATAGTGGAGAAGCTTTCAGAGTTAGCCGAAGAGGGTGTCCACTCAGTAAGCGAGGCACGCAGATACCTTGAGCTTTTCGTTCAATGTGACCTGTTTAAGGGATGTAAACCGCCAGACAAAACTAGCAGACGATTTTATCCTACAAACAAGGACATATACAATCATTTGTACAAAGGCAAACCAAACCATTTCTCTTCCATCGACCAAAAGAATTTGGAGGGGCTAGTTCAAAAATGGAAATCAGAGAATCCACAAGATTCTTTCCTTTACCGTCCTCATTCAACGAAGACGGCATCAGATGACTCTATCCAGGATCAAGATGGAGATACCGTCTCCGATGATAGTCTCGAGGAATCCACGCAAACATTACTGTTCTGCCATCAGACATGCGATCAACGACATCTCCTGACCAGGTATGGCAACCAAATGTGCCTGCTTGATGCAACGTACAGAACAACAAAATATGACCTTCCACTGTATTTCCTGTGTGTCAGAACAAATGTGTGTTATCAGGTGGTGGGATCATTTGTCATACAGTACGAAAATATTGAATGTATAACAGAAGCATTAATGGTGTTCAAGGAGTGGAATAAAGATACATGGAATCCTTTGCGTTTTATGGTGGATTTTGCAGAGGAAGAAATTCAAGCTCTTGAAACAGTCTTTTCAGGTAAGTAAATGTACCAACGGGAAAAGCTGTTTGAACTCAAACCATTACTTTTGTAGCGGTACATATATAAATGCAAGTAGGCGCTTCTTAACAGACTTAACACAGAGCGATATTCCTTGCGTATCTCTTTCTACATATGTGTGGGGTATAGAAAAATATGGAGCTTTAAATTGGACTTGATTCTGGATTAAGATGATTTTTTCCCGTGAGCGTTTAAACAGCTTGTTCGCAGTTCGCCACATTCTAAAATATCAATAAATATATGGCACAAGTTTTCAGAATGTATATAGATAGGATATTACTTTGAATTTGAATCTGCTAAAGTCACTTACCGGAAACTGATCCATGTACGGTAAATGTACCCATATTTTTAACATTACCTAAAATACATATTTTACATGTCATGTATTACTGTAGATACAGAAGTACTTCTTTGTGATTTTCATCGAGAGAAGTCATGGCAAGAGTGGACATCTAAACTTGACAATGGCGTTGCTCAAGACAAGCAAGAAGTACTCAGCCTATTACGGAACATCGCACGTGCAGCTACGTCTGAAGAATGCCGAAAGTCAACCGCAGCCCTTACAGAGAGCAAATTTTGGAAAGAAAATCCCAAATTAAGGAATTGGTTTGGTAACAAGTGGCTGCCAAACATCAAGGTATACAGCCATCATGGGGACTAGACTGAGGGGAAAATTAGTACTAGCTACTTGAAATAATATGATATGATTATGAAATCCTGAAAACGGTATTGCCCAGCCTGAAATCACGTCCCACTAAAAGTTTGTTTCCTTTTTTAGCCAAAACTGTACTGTACCACTTAAGGTAAATCATATTCTTATTCTTACAGAGATGGTGCCAAGCGTATCGGGCGGAAGATTTCATTTGTGCAGTCAACACCAACAACGGTATTGAAAGACAAAATAGGTCGTTTAAATACGAGTACCTGTTGGGGAATAAAGGATGCTCTCTAAGTGACATGGTAAAAGTTCTTGTCAATCAGTTTCTGCCAAAAACTTTCAGAAAGTAAGAAATTTTCAGTACCTCACCTATACTGTAAAAAGTAATCAATCTAAAGGACTTACTTAGTAAATCACAGATGTGATTCCATTGTGAGGTGTTCTTTACATGCTGTACTGTAAACCAAGTCACGAGTTTATTTTCTTATCATTGTGTGTTCACCATCCCTAAAATGTATTTTAAAGAAGTGCATACAAATGCAGTATATTTAACAAATGCTTTTGTCTGTGACCTTAGGTATGTTGAGTTAAATGTGAAATGCCATGATGGCTACCGTGCTTACAATGAGGAACTGCCAAGATTTCTTTACAACAGACCAGCAAAAATGGTGTCCCACATAAAGAAGCGGTGGGAAAGTGACATAGAAAATGACATGGTCACAATTTTGTCTTCAGGGGTCTTCGAAGTACAGAGTTCGACGGGAGGGAATCAATATAAAGTAACCTTTGGAGATGATAAAAATTTCCCAAACTGCACTTGCCTGGACTGGAGACACAACAAGCTTCTGTGCAAGCACTTCTGTGCATGCATGAAAGCTTTTCCAGAATGGAGGTGGGAAAAACTGAGTAACAAATATAGAAGCAATCCGCTGTTTTCCTTGGATGAAACTATCGTGCCAGCAGACAACACCCCACCTAAAAATCAAGTAAATACAGATCAGCAGCATACACCACCAAGAACCATAATGAATGAGACAGATACAATGGACAGCGATGATTTTGCACCACTACCACCTAAAAGGACTAGTGGCAAAAATGCTCTTCGTCTTAAATGCCGAAATTTAATGAAAGAACTTTCAAGCCTGACATTTCTTATAGATGACAAGGAGCAACTTTCCTCCCTTGTTAATGATCTCGAAGCAACATTAAAAAAAGCACGCAAAGAAGCACCACAGGAAACAGGAATTATCATACAAACAACGCACCCGAAGAGGAATCCCATTAGAAAAACAAATAGCACCAACACGAAAACTAGTCAAAAGAAACAGAGGAACATTGAAACACTAATGAAAAGATCATATGGCCGCCCGAAACATCCCTACACTGGCCGAGTTGGGAAGCATTCTGAAATTATGAGAAAAAACTACAAAGTGCATGTGCCACTAGCTGCAGAAAAGCCTAAGAAAAGAAAATCGTCAAGAACAGATATAATAGACCTGAGCTCACCCAGTAAAAAGCCGTGCAAAAGTCTTCCACCAAAACAGCCCTGGGTATGTCTTGCCAATTTGACTTTATCTCTGGCAGATAAAACAGCACTTACTTCTGGAAAACTTCTTAATGATAACCACATCAATGCAGCCCAAATTCTTTTAAAAAACCAATTTCCTAACATTAGTGGCTTGACAGATACTTTAATAGTATCAAATCAACTTCCTAGTAAAGGTTCCTCAACTTCAATGTCGAACATTATTCAGATCCATAACATTCCTGGACATTGGCTTGTATCTCAGTCAAATGGACAATCAGTGATTGTCTATGACTCTCTGTATCCTGGACTGACAAGTCCTTTGTGTAAACAGTTGGTATATGTATACAAG